GGGGGGTGTCCAACATAAATGCCTAACCCTAACCTAAATGCCACAGAAAATCACTTTTTGAGAGAAACATTACCACCCTTCCAAATAAAATAAAATAATAATAATAAATAAATAAATAGTAAGAATAAATAATCCAACATATAAGTTAATACATGCTATTGAAACATAATTTTTGAGGGGAAAAAAAATGCTGCTAACCTTCCAGATAAATAACAAATAGAGAAAAATAATCCAACATATATGTTAATAAATAATTATTTAGGAGGGAAATATTGCCACTCTTCCAAATAAACTAAATCCAATACATTGTTTATTAAATGCACCTGGAAAAAAATATATATATTGGTGCAACTATTGCACTGAATGAAAAAAAAAGTGCATTTGTCTGCTTGCAGACACACACAAACACAGAGTTTTCCTGCGGTCAGCTCTTTTTTTGCCCTCATTCTCATATGACATATACAGTGCATGTGTTAAGTGTGAAACCCAGCCCCGCTGTACAAACAAATCCAGTCCGCATTTTCCATCCGACCGAGACCATGTATAATTCGACCAGAGTCCTCTGCTATCATTTTAAATAAGAGCGCATTGTAAAAGGGGAGAAGAAAAACTGATTCAGGTCAGAGCACCAGCAAAGAAAACACCAGCTTTAGCACAAGAATGGCCTACATTTAAACAGAGAAACTCAGCTGCCATATATCTCCTTACGCACTCATACTACAGCCTGGAAGACAGGAAACTCGCTTTCCAAATGGCCACGAGGAGACGACTCGCATACCTCAGGGAAGCCACTGAAAGGCTATATATTTTATTTTTTTTAAATGTTGGCCTTTCCACAGCGCCAAAGGTCTGACGGGTTTCAGGGAGGGTCTCTGGGAACACAGGAATTGGGGTAACCTTACAGCGGGGTCGAGCAAGGCCAAGGGAAGAAAAGCTGGATGCAAAAACACGCTCAAGCTGTACATGCAACAGTCGTCCTGGAGGACGCTTGTAAATAAAAACGGCTGATAAGAGTTAAACGATAACGCTTTTGCGAAAACGCACGTTAAAAACCTAGCCTGAGGTTTAATGTGTATCTGAGTTATTCTTGATCACAAGCAGCGTTCAAAGAGCACATTCTTGAAGAGAGTCAGACGTTCAGCTTCAAATAACTATATTTAAGTTAAAGGGATAGTTCACCCTAAAATCTGTCATTATTTACTCACCCTCATGTTGTTTCAAAGCTGTTTTGGTTTAAACCCAAAAGAAGATATTCTAAAGAATGTTGGTAACCCAACAGTTGCCGGTAGCCATTGACTTCTATAGTATGGAGAAAAAAATGCTATGGCAGTCAGAGGCTACCGTCAACTTGAGGGTGAATAAATGATAACAGAATTTACATTTTTGGGTGAACTATGCCTTTAAAACTAAAAAAAAAAAAAAAAAAACATGCAGAAAACTGAGGTCTGAATCCATCCGTTTTGCTTCGAGTTACCGCAAAGAACTGTTTTAGCTTTCATCAGGTCATAAAGAAGACAACCCAGCTAATTTTGGCTGACTGAGATATCCCGTCTGCAGCTAAGGACACTTACGGTGGAGTATTCACGAGGCCACCATGCTGGAATCTCAGTTAGTCTAAACACAGAAAAAAACAAACCAGACCCAGACACCCTTGACTGAGCACCTTTGTCAGGGAAGTTAGAGAGCACGATTCTACTATCTGTTCTTTAACATCAAGTTTAGGCTCTGAAATACTTAGTTGATGCTTTTTTGATGTACTTTATTAAAAGATAATTCACTTTATTTTAAATAGTGCATGTTGTTTTCTCAAGGGCACAATGTGATAATTCATGGCTCTTTTTAATACTTGAGCCTACAGCCTTTCAGTTGCTAACCTAGTTCTTTACCACTACACCACGCTACTGTACATAAAGACTGTGGGAAACAGTTTGACTAAACCAGCTTTTTTTTCCTGTAATGACACTAATCCCTATTTTATCGGAAAAAAATGCTGAATCTAAAAGGGCTCATTCTTTTTTCATTTTCAATATACACTAACGTTCAAAAGTTTTGGGTCTGTATGTTTTTCACTGCTGTTAAAATAAGTCTCTCATGCTTAACACGACTGCATCTGTTTGATCAAAAATACCGTAAAAACGGTAATGTTGTGAAAAATTATTACAATTGAAAATAACTACTTTCTATTTCAATATAATTTAAAATGTAATTTATTCCTGTGATCGAAGCGGAATTGTCAGCATCATTGCTCAAATCTTCAATGTCACATGATCCTTCAGAAATCATTGAAAATAGTTGTCCTGTTTCATATTTCTGTGGAAACGACGCTACATTTTTTTTTCAGGATTCTTTGATGTATAGAGAGTTCAAAAGAACAGCATTTATTTGAAGCAGAAATCTTTTGTAATATAATAAATATCTTTACTGTGACAATCAATTTAATGCATTCTTGCTGAATAAAAGTATTAATTTCGTCTTCAATGTCACATGATCCTTCAGAAATCATTGAAAATAGTTGTCCTGTTTCATATTTCTGTGGAAACGACGCTACATTTTTTTTCAGGATTCTTTGATGTATAGAGAGTTCAAAAGAACAGCATTTATTTGAAGCAGAAATCTTTTGTAATATAATAAATATCTTTACTGTGACAATCAATTTAATGCATTCTTGCTGAATAAAAGTATTAATTTCTTTACAAAAAGAAATAGCCCAAACTTTTGAATAGTACAGCCAATAGCTCTCTTTTATGTTTCAAAACCATACCTGATTGTTGTAGCATGGATGCCATTTTGAATAAAATATTTTTTTACATTTTACTTCCTTTGCAACTATTTAAGTTTAATGCATTAAAACTCTTGGAGCATGTAGATTCTGCATAGCCCTCATTTACTACAGGTGAATGACAATGAACACCTGGCTAAGGAAATCTTGGATGTTCTTTCTCCATCTGGGAGCTGATCAACTATCAGATTACTGTCTGCTCTCATACACAACAACTGATCCAATATGAGCACCTGGACCCTCAGGAAACAAGCTAGAAAACCACATCCTATTTAATAGCTGGAGTCAAATTCATTTAAGAGATGAGAAATATTTTAAGTTGGGTCCAAAAATGAAATTTCAGAGAAAAGACTTCAAGAAAATTGTTAAAATATTACCAATCTACCGATATAATTACACACTAGTGTCATAGGATTCCACAGAAACATTAATCTTCTGAAAAAAAATGAAA